AAACCTTTTTTTAATTGACTTGTTGAGGGCGTTTGAGGACGGTTGGTTATTTTAAAAAGTGGTGAAAATAAAAGTTGTTGAGAATTTATTTAATATAAAAACATTTTCCGCTATGATGAACTGTTGTCAATATACAAGCGGAAAACTCCCTAACACTACCCTTCGGCTCGTCGCCTAGGCGCAGGACTTGTGGTATGTTCATTCCCGAAGCACTCTGAACAAGTTTCGAAGGAATTGCTTAGGTGCCTGCTCACGTACTGTACACTCTCAAAAAAGAAGTCGTTTATTGACTGGGCTATATAGAGAAATTTATGATGTAATTCTGAGAGGAATTTTATAGGAACTTGAGACACATCAAAGGAACTTAAGGGGCGCTTAAGAAAAAAGAAAAAATTTGAGAGGGACTGGATGAGAAATTGAAGGGTACTTAAGATGAACTTAAGAGAAACATAGAAACCTGAGAATAACTTGAAATATGTGAGAAAACCTTCACCGGCACTTGAGAGACACTTAACAAAAAATTAAAACGGGGAAAGAATTTTGTATGAAAGGAGAGGAAATGATGGACTGCTTTTAAAGATAAACTGAAGAAGAAATTGCATCAAAAGTGAACGTAAAAATAATTTGAAGAATTTGCCGTAAACCCAGAGAAACTCTAACAAAATTACGAGAAAGGAAATTCAGAGAAACTTGAGGGGAACGTACAGAGAATTTGAGCTCTTGAGAGGGAAACTTGCTTATTTAAAACTTCTCTGTCAATCCCAGGTTCTCGGAGTTTCAGATAAAATCGCGCGACTTCATTTTGTATCATTTGATTATTGCTATAAATTCCGAGATCTCGGTGAATTTTCATCCCCTAAAACATCGGGGATTTGTGTTAATTCATCTGCGAGTTTCAGATATTTGGGTTGCGGTTGCGTTTTCCTCATTACGTGTAAACCGGTCGCAGTAATGAATTTGTTGACGGTTATGGATGTATGCAAGTTTATTAGCTATTACACTAAACGTCAGCGACTTCCGAGATAGGACCCTGGCAATGATTATTACACGTAAAATTTGAATTCAGCAGTATATGGTTCTCCACACGTCTAACCGACGATCAGGCGAGGAGTAAATCTTAGATGGGATCATCTAAGATCACCAATCGGGTACTGAATCCGTACCTTGTTTTGATCTTACATGAAACATTTATGTACCTACGTGAACCTTTCCTTAAAGGGACGAGGTAAATAATTGCACGGGGGTAGATTTCCCTTCGAGAAATTTGCTTTGGAGATACCACCCCGCGGGTGAGATGGCGCGATGAAATACCTGGCGAAAATTGTCCGGCAATCTTTTGGAATGTATTTTCGTTGAGACTACGAAACATAATATACAAATGTGAATTTATGGTTAAAACGAGGCATTTTTTTAAAATTAAAATTTATTGGAAGGTACCTCAACTGCCATGGATATTGGCACTCGTTTATAACTTGTTGGATTACATTTGGTTAATATACATTTGATTAATATAATATCGTGTTCAAGTGTTCAATGTAGATCTTGAAAAATTCTAAATCTTTATTTTCAATCACTTTCTCACATAACTTCAAAGCAACCGAAAAAAAACGCGGAAAACCGTGTCTTTTGTTTTTTATTGTTCATTTCTACAAAAATAATTTTATTTTAACCAGACTTGGTTGAAATATACTTTTTAATGATTCAAATAACTACCTACACATTTTTTCAATATAAAAAATTAAGACGTTTCCAAAATATTCGTTTTTTTTTGTCGCCAAAAAAACCTTTTTGCAACGGATTAATACACTCCATTAATATACGACCAATCAACTTGGTGATTGTTTGAAATTCTAACCAATCAGATAATTTGTTTAAATGATTAAAAGCTAGGTAGCTTTTTATCGGCGATACAATACACCCACTTGTGGGCAGTGCTAAAAATCTTGGGCTCATTATAAATTCAGATTTGCGATTTAAGTTGCATATATCTCAAAATTAATACAAAAATCATATTTTACCCTGAAATTGTTGTATTCTCATAGGCATTCATTAAACCAACATTTAAAAAAGTTGCTTTGTGATACTCTCATTTTATCGAATTTTAATTATTGTGATGTCGTCTACAGTTCAAATTTGGATTCCTGTGAAAAAAGACGAATTCAAATCGTTCAAAACTCCTGTCTTAGGTTTATATTTGGCGTCAGAAGAAGGGAAGGAGTTTCCCATTACATTAGAAAGGCAGGTTGGTTAAAAGTGGAAGATGGAAGGACGCTGCATTGCTACTGCACTTTTTATAAAATAGTCGTTAATAAATGCCCACAATTTCTCGTTAACAAAATACGGTTCAGAACTGACACTCATAATATTAATATACGAAACTCTTGGACCATGGTGTGATGAAGCAATATCATTCATTGAAGCTATAGGAGCGTTAATTAAACTTAAAACTTATGACAGTCGTTCAACACTATTCCTAAAACAGAAAGTTAGTATTGCAATTCAAAGAGGGAATGCAAGTTGCATTATGGGAACTTTCAACAATTCTTTCAAGCTAGAAGAGATTTTTTATTTACTTTGAATATTGTTATTGAAATTATTTGTAAAATGCGTTTTAAATTAAAATAAAAAAATCATCATACACGAAGAAAGGATTTACTTATTACAATCCCTAAGCATAATCTTCAATTATATAAAAGGTCTTCTCTTATTTAATAGCTTTTATCTAAACAAACTAAAAATTAACTTTTCATCTATGTCGCTAGCACAGTTCAAAACCTTAATTAAAAATAAGCTTTATTCTGGTGAAGTATAATACCTATAGGTAAATATAAAATAATGTACATTTGTACCATCTTACTCAATTGGAATCATTGACTGATAACTTTCTCTCCTTTTCACAATTGAATGGATGTGGGTAGATTTCCACGACTAAAGTACCTCTCTTTGGCGTATTGGGGCTGAGTGGTAGACCAGACGGTTAATATTTTTGACCAATCTGAATCTTAACCCCTTGGGGGAAACTGGAAGGACTAAGAAATTGTAATGATTATGATCATGTACCTGATGATGTATTCTATGTTAAACCCTCGGTTAAACCCAATAAACGATCTATTATTATTATTATAAAATTGCGCGTAAGAATGCGTAAAAACAGGGTGTCTTAAATTGAGTAGGACAGCATGGTTATCTTTGTTATTTTTATACTTACAAATTCGGTTAAATTGGCAAAGTTGTGTACGTTTTGATGCTGATGGATATTCCGATGCGATATTTTGAAAAAAATAATTCGTATCGTAGATAATTGGAGTGAAAATCGCCATTTGGAAACAGTTCAAATATTTTAGTAACAAAGAGAACTATCGAAAAAATTTTCAAATAAAAGTTGCAAGATTCGATGGGATAAATTCAATGAACGTAGAAAAAATTTTATTTAAATGGCGGTTTCCGAGATATAGACATGAACTTATTTTAAATGGACGCCATATTGGATTTTACGTCACTCGATAGAGAAAAACATTACAAAACCAGTGATACTAAACACTTAAGTGTTGAGAATCAACCTTACATTTTTGCCTCGAAGTTTACAATGTATTTCTTATGGAAATCATTCCATGCCTGATTATGTTTGAAACCTTTTAATTTGTATATTGAAAAAATTTGTAGTTCTTTGAATGATAAAATAGTATATTTCAAGCAAGTCTCGTTAAAAGAAAATCATTTTTGCGGAAATAATAAATAACAAATAATTGCCGTCATACGATTTTCACCCCTTTTCACCCTCCCCAAAAACTTATGCCCACTCCCCTCTTCACATAGTTATTTTTTTTTGTATTTGTTATGTATCATTTCACCATATCCACTTGGCAAATCACAATTGTCTTTTGTAAAAAGGTCAATCTGCCTGGACTAATAGTGCCCCTCTTTAGTTAAAACAACACTAAGCGCTCAAATTTTAATTTTTATTGCAGAAGTTAAATTTACCGTTACCATTTGAAGTGAATTAGCGAAATCGAAATTTAGCAATCAGTTTATGGTTCCTAATCTAATTATTCAAATGACAAATAGTTGGACTTTAATATCGAAATGTCAACACTTGTGATACAACTTTTTACTTTTATTTAAAATTCAAGTCGCAATTAAGTTCACTATCGCAATATGAAACCGAACGTTATCAGTAAAATCGATTTTTCAGCTTTAATATTTATTTCAGTCATAAAGATTGGTTACGAATTGTTCACGGCAATTACCAATTCGACACTTATGCAAATACTCCACATATTTGAGATTTATTGGATTTTTCGCTTTTCGCGGGAATTCTGTGCCTTTTCTGTGCATCCAATTCAAAATTCACGTGAACAAGTTTCTATTCTAGTAGTGATATAATGAGCTCAAAAGGTATACTCCCAAATATTTGTTAGAAATTCAATTTTCAATTGCAAAATTCGCATTAAACGCGAAGAGTACGTATAACAACGTCGCAATTGTTGTAAAAAAATTTCGAGCTAGAAATTTTTACGACATATTAACCTCCCAAATACAAAATTCAATTTTGCGGTAACTAATTCAGTTCTTGTACTAAATTAAATTAAAACAAATCAAATTTTTACGGCTCGTAATTCTAATTTCGTACTAATACATGCATGACTTGGGCAGCTTCTCAGTGAATTTTAGTTCTCCCTGTAGCAATTACTGATTTTCGACGTTAAATTAGGCGACGCGACGCAAAATGGAAGCCATTTGGCAGATTTTTGAAATAATTTCCAAAGCGGTTTCCACTAGGTTATTTTCGAGCTGTTATCTGTCGTAAGACGGAGAATTTGTAAAAAAAAACGTCAGGGACGTTAACATTGTCAATCTCTCGTTAGTGTACTAGGTACCTGCTGATAAGAGCGCTTATCACTTTCACACTTTCATAGTGAAAGGTTCATTTATCAGAAACGACGCGATAGGGAAAGGACAACGTGTTCTAGTCAGTCCCACAAGGAACTGTGCTGGAGAAGGAGATAATGCCTACATCGAATTTGGCAACGATATCAGCAACACGTTGTTGATATGTAAACAGTGACCTCGTCGGATGATACGCGGCTGCGCTGCACACCTGTACAGGTACTTTTAAACTGTCCAGCATTCGTAATATTACCGGTTGCAGTAGTGGTCCATCTACCTTTTTCGTCTACGATTTTTTTTACGATATCTCGTGCACTCGCGAAAAACAATGCGCCCGCCGAAAGTGTTTTGGATTAAATTTTTATCAACTTAGTGCTTCAAAAACTTGACTTTAAAAAAATGTGTACCAACTGTCCAGTTTTGGAATATGTGGAAAAGAGGGAATTCAGAATTTCTATCTACGAATTATCAACACCGCGTGGTAAGTCGATTTACGATTTCCTTAAATATACAGAAAAAATAAACAAGGTCGTCAATAATTTCTACAAGTCTAATTGAAATTCCATTAGTGAAATTAACGAGCGCACGTAGGCAATTGGGGCGGTTTCCAAAAAAAATTAAAAAAATGTCCAAAGGGTTATTGGCAATGACATTCGCAACGGCAGAGATTCAAGGTTTATATCATGTACCTACTGTAATTATTTCTGGCATAATAAGGAAATCTACATAAATTATGCTGTTCAATAATAAATGAAAAATTTTACCAACAATTTGTAGTGTGATTGTGAAACACTGTTTTTAGACCTGTGGAAAAATTGTCCGAAGTGTTTGTTAAAATTTTCTAAATGAAGACCTTGGAGAACGATACATATTTCTATAAATTGTGATGTTTTACCCAGTTGTTTTTAAACGAACATGTTTTTCAAAGGCAAAGTTTAAAGTGGAATAACACCTGCTTTGCATTGAATATGCTGATGTGCCAATCTTTCCCAAAATCCAGTTGTTACACTTAAAAAGGCTACTAAATTACGAGTCCATTTGTATTAACCTTTGATCCAAATTCGAGAGTCGGAAGTATTGGATTTCCTATTTTTTTTAATTAATTTTCGTAGTTTATTATTGACTATCATAATCTATAACTGTCTGTCACTTGATGATCTTCTATTATATTATAAAATTAATTAATATTATTCTTAAACGTTATTGTTTCTGAAACCACTATTTTTTCACGAAGTACAAAAGGTTTTAACATCGTTTGTGGGTGAGAATAATACCTTGGTTGGCTTGGTGTACTTTATCAAGTTTAAAAGTGGGGAATGGAATGGAAAATGTAACATGTAAATAAATACACCAAACCGTTTCTAGTGCAGGGAGTTGGGATACAAATAAACATAATATGCTAGGCCCAGTGCTGGGCTCTATACCAATGTCATAATCTTCAAACGTTAGGTACTTTATTTATCACGAAAGATATAAACAAAATGGCAAAGGGAAATCTTCTGTATATTTCTACGTAAGTGACAAATTTTCTATTTTCCAGAAAAGTTGTCGTATTTTCGCACGGTTAGGGCGTTGTGCAGCGGTGCACCATCCTGTTGAAACCTACAGTTTCCAACTTTTTTGCGGATACCGTATATCGTTGAATTCGTAATAAAAAATCAAATAAAATAAAAACGAAATCTGTAAATTTCTTTGAAGCATGATAATCACTGCTTAATTGCGCAACTTTGACCATTGTCGTATCTGCTATGATTCCGGAGATCCCCATGAAAGACGCCTTTATCTTAGACACAGTGTATAGTACCTTAAATTATTCTTTTGGAAGCACCTATGACTATAAATTTTGTTTTTAAACTATAAATTCCGACACGACACAATTGGTAATATCAGCTTCAAACTCAGGACACCGATTTTAAATTAAGAATTGTAACTCGGAACTTAAACATAAAACTTGGAATAAGCAACTGGTATCGAGATTTGGGTGTAAACTCGTGTTTTTCTCTTAGATCTTAAGATGCATACGATCAATTTTTCCGGTGCGCAAGTAAGAAGTTCGTTTACCTACCTGTTATCGTCGATGCGTCAATGCGAAATATCTCGGACTTTTGCATAAGCTATCCATAACCTTTTTTCGTTTGCAATTATTATGACTACAGAGGTCAATAAACATGTCACCATTACAAAGTACTCAAACTACTGATCATCTATCGCAAAGAAATCAAGATGTGTCTATTCCCAAAAAAATAGCAAGCATGAATGTAATGGGAGATTTAAAATTACGTGACTACGTAATAACCCTAGGCGTAGATCCTGAAAATATCATATTTGTCTCTAGAATGATCGAACCTGCGTTTATCTTGGCTGAACGTACTTACTCATATTATCGTAGAGAACAACAAAGTAGAAATAGGACGACTAACTTCTAAGATTAAAAGGCTAATAATCTCAAACGCTTGTCGGTCGATACCCCACGCCATTATCGAATGTATTATGCAAACCATTGGTTACAAGACTGGCCAATCCACTTTCTCAGGGCAGGCATGTCATACCTATCAAATTTTAAGCTTTCGTCGATAGTTTACGTACAGTCTGAACCTACAGAAGACTGTCCACCCTCGGTCTTCGTAAAGCGCGGAGATATAAATTACCGAATCTTTTGGAATTTTGACGAGCTCAAGTGTTTCCAATGTGAACAAAAGGTACATATTGCCAACGCATGTAAAAAGCCATAGATAGAGACATCGGTGGCAATTTTCATGGAGCGCACTGCAAAGCTTCGCCCAATAAAACCCGATGTCCGCCATGGACACGACTTTGACATTCCCGATCTGAGGAGGTCACTTTGAATCGCCTCCGCCTGGGTCACACTCACACTCGAGCTACCCATCTTTATCACATTCTAGGCCATGCTCCCCCATTCTGCCCCACCTGTAAGACACCAGCAACAATACATCATATTCTCCTGGACTCACGTGCCTTTATTACCCAAAGGCAGAGCAACGGGTTGGGATCATCACTTGCTGATATCCTGGACAGCACCTCAGATAATGGGAAGACAGTGATACAATACCTCAAAGACATTAACATGATACATACCATATAATGATATTCGTATTTTTTGTTAGCATTGCTCTACTTGTACCATAATTTACATTCTCCACTGTTTCATATTGTATCTTCAAAGTTCCATGAGATTAAATAAATAGAAAATAAAGTCGGAATTCCCAGTTTAAAGTCGAAATTTCGGATTTAAATTCGGAATTCCGAGTTCAGCATTCACATTCCAACTTAAAATGATATAGTGGAAGCCTTTTAGTAGCCCTAGCAAAGATCGGAATGATTGTTCTACGCTTTTTTTAATAATCAAGAATTTTATGACTAATTCTAACCAGTTTGTAGAGCAAAAGTAGTAATTGACTTTTATTTTAACTAGATGCAACTACGTTTTAATTTCATTAGCAATTAAATATGTATAATATATTCTAAGTTGAAGATTAAAATACGCACAATATATTTTACCCTAGAAGACAATGTCATGTAAGGAAATTTGCAGCAGTCGGATTGGTTTTAATTATAAAATTCTTATAATCGTGTTTATTTTAAATTAGAACGATTTCTATCCAAATTTGTGGCATTGGGATTTTCGATTTATTTTAACTAAACGAATGCTTATTAGGCGCCAATTATATGCGCCATCTGAATGAAATTTTGTTTCCCTGAACAACCTCACGGACCGGACCCCCAATTTTTTCCTAAACGAATTTTTCCTTATGCACCGTGGAAAGAAAATTTTGCACCCTAATAGAACATGTTTAAACTTAAAATTGATATAAAATACTGGCAGGCCCGGGAAAACTTCGAACTGTTTTTGGGAAATCTTGTTTTGATGAGACATACGCTCGGTTTCGGCGGCTGCGCCGCCTCACCTCGCACGCCCGTTGAACTAAATACCACCTATCAGTCAATGTTTCCTTGGATGGGACATAAAAACCTTTGCCTTGGAAGGAAACCTTTGCTTTCAGTTTCCAAAACGAACGCAAAGGGGTAGAGGGTTGAGACAGAACGAGAACATACACTAAATAAGGTAATTTTCACCCGGATTTTTACGTAGAGCTGATGAGCATTTCAAACGGTTCTTAATATTGAGAAGGATTTAGATGGAATTGCCGGAACGGGGCGAGTTAATTTTATTCCGCGTTTGGTAGCGTCACGCAAACAAGATTAACCATTCAGAGTCACAGAGTGTCATCACTGACGTACACCAGCTATTTTAAACATTTCCACGAAGTAAAATGAAGTCAATTTCCTTTTAAAAAAAGACTACAAATTTCCATATAACAAATACTTTACAATCTCGTCAAATGTGTTTACTAATATAATGGTGTCACTTAAATGTAAATCAACATTCAATAAATCAAGTTGGCACTTAAATTCCTTTCGAATTACTCTTAATCGATTTATTGTTGTGGGTGTCCCCTGTCAACACAAAGCGGTCTTCCTAATGTTTTTGTTTGTATTGACCTCTTACTCCCACCATCTTATGTAATTGTGTTAAAATTCCCACGCGTGCCACTTACCTACACCTGTTCTTAGCGCTAAATCTTCACGGACAACAGACATTCTGCGGTTTTCCAAAATCGTTCTGAATAGTACCGCAATTTCAGGTAAATACAAATCATTATGCTAATGGGAGATTTCATTATTGGCATCGCAATTTAATTCAATTGGTAATTGCACGACCGTCTCACATGCTCGTCTCACTACGTTGTATTTCATAAAATTAGCGAAAAAAATAATATAAACGGTCACCTACACAAATCATTCTAGTCGTAAACGTTTGATGTTGCGGCAATTAACACCACATCAAAAAGGCCACATATTGTTACTTTCCTCGCTTAGAAATACGTTATTTTATGGTCGTCATTCAATTTCGAATTTTACACCTGAGTGATAGTGTCACAAATTTTTCAATTCTTCAGACATGGCACGATTTAAACTATCACCATATACACTTTCTCCAGTCGAATTTCATAATCACAATTTTTGCACTAAAGAATCGAATGTACACTTGACACAATTCTCCCGAGATTATCTAATCTTTAAATAAGTAAGTCAAGAACAATACAAAAAATATACCTACCTCAACGTAAAATGTCAGCCGTGATGTTCAGTTAACGACTACCTCTTTTTGCATCTTTTTTTTTGTAGTTTGCGGATTCTTGTTTGTTACGTCAACGATATTGTCTAATTCGAACTCTCCTCGTGGCATTTAATTTGCGTATTGGTTTTACCACCCTTATGCAATTATTTCAAAGATTGCAGTTTTAATGATTTAAATTGCATAATTTTATAGTCTGTTTGTAATAGAAATGGAAATTGACTGAGGAAACCACAATCGATCACATTTTCTTTGATTGATTGATGTCCTCTTCCCAGCCCCCGAAAATTCAATGCGTATTCCGTAAATTTTTTTCTCCCCAA